GCGGCTGCGGCTGCATCGGAGCGTGCTGAGGAGGAGCCGAGGTGACCGGAGGAGTGAATGCCGCCAGGGGAGGCCATGTGGGAGAGACCCGAGGGGCCGTGGCCGCCGTGGCCGCCGTGGGCGCCGTGCGCGCCGTGGTGGTGGTGGTGATGCGCGGCGAGGTTGGCGTAGCCGGGGGAGGAGGGACCGCCTGCAGAGATGGAGGCAGCGCTCGAGTGGCCGATGGAGCCTGGCAAGGAGGAGAGCGAGGGGTTCTGCTGGTGCGAGTGGTGCGGGTGCTGGTGGGAGCGTTGTGGCCACGCGGCGTTGGGCATGGGGAAGCGGCCTACGGGGGTGAAGGAGGCGTTGTAGGCGTTGTTGTGATTCTGTGCGGAAGCCTGGCCGGGAGGCTGGGAGAGCGGGCCGCCTGCATGACTACCTGAAGGGTGGTGGTGGGAGTTGAGGTAGAGGTATGCTGGAGGCGAGGGGGCCGGGGAAGGCGACGGGGAGGGATACATGTATGAGGGATGTGCGGATCCGCGCGGCGGTGGATGGGAGCGTCTAGGTCGAGCAGGTTGTTGGAAGGTAGCGAGGGTGTTGGTGTTGGTGTTGGTGTTTCAGCAGCAAGGGCGGTGGTTGCGGGAGTGCAGAGTCGGGGTGCGTGTGTGTTGAAAAGGGCCGAATCGCAGCAAAAGTAGACGAGATCGAAGGCAAAGGGGCTTTGAAGTCGGAGCGGGGCGATTGCATGTTCCTGGGAGAGGGAGAGAGAAAGAGAAAGAGAGAGAAAGACAGCTAGGGCAGCGATCTAGATGGGCAGTGGTTGGAGAAGGTGGAGCAGGAGCACGCCGTCGCCGAGCATGGGAGCGCCAAGGCAGAGAGCGAGCGTGTGCGCGAGACGTGGTGGCGCCGAGTGGAGCGGCTTGCTTGAGCTGGCGTTGTTGGCTGTGATGACGGTGACGGTAGCAAAAGCGATGGTGGTGATTGCGGAACAGCAGCAGCAGCAGCAGCTGAAACGTGCGATCGCGCCCAACGAGTCGCGCGAGAGTTGCAGGAGCGGCACTGCTGCACTGCAGCGTCGCGCTCTCCGCTTCGCTGCTGGCTGCCGTCGAGGCGCGCTGCATATTCGCATCCCAAATCCGAATCCCAGCCGCCAAGCTGCAGAGAGTGCTCCACCCATGATTGGTCTGGTGATCGGAGGCCACGGCTGCTTGCAAATCTGTAAGCTACTATCGATCTCACATCTATCATTGGACTGAACGGGATGTTACACCGCCACCCCGTCCACCAGCTTACATAAGCCTTCCATCGAATTCCACGGTCCGCCAGCCCGCCTGCATTTCGACCTAACAGTGCATCACTCGGCGTTTCTTTCCAGCAGACATTCTCCCTCGCCACTGCACTGCCGACGATGGCCTTTCCATGCTGCAACACACACGACGCCTGTCGAGACTAGCTCATAGCACAGAGCACTGAATCCGAACGTAGATTGGACTGCTTGCCACCTGAGCCTGTGATGGGCCGTTGAGCAGGCCGAAAAGAAGCGCATGGAAGCTACGAACGCGCCTTTGCGCTCAGCCAGCCGCGCTCGTTGGAATTCTTCTAGAATCTCGACATTTCTCGCTCGCTCTGTCTCTCTCGCTGCGCTGAGTCGCGCTCTGCTGCTGGGCGGAAATTCGCTCAACACTTTCCCTTCCCTCCGCAGTCGACGCAAAGCCATTTATTCCCAACACGCCCTAGCCACCGCCTCCCTCCTCTCCTCCCTCAACCGCACACACCACGCCCTCTCATCCCCCCGTGTCTGTTGCACATCGTATTCACCATGTCCGGCAACACAGAGACCTTCGGCTTCGTAAGTAGCACCACCACCTTCGTCCTCCGTACTCTAGCCATGTCGTCGCCACCGTCGAACCTGAAGATCATCTGATTACTGACCCTCTCTCCCCTATTTACTTGGTGTTTCGCAGGCCGCCGACATCAGCCAGCTGCTCGACCTCATCATCAACACCTTCTACTCTAACAAGGAGATCTTCCTGCGTGAGCTCATCTCCAACTCGTCCGATGCGCTCGACAAGGTGCGCTACAATGCGCTCACCGACCCCTCGGTGCTCGAGTCCGAAAAGGAGCTCTACATCCGCATCACCCCGGACAAGGAGAACAACTGCCTCACCATCCGCGACACCGGTATCGGCATGACCAAGGCCGACCTCGTCAACAACATCGGCACCATCGCCAAGTCCGGCACCAAGGCCTTCATGGAGGCCCTCAGCTCCGGCGCCGACATCTCCATGATCGGCCAGTTTGGCGTCGGCTTCTACTCGGCCTACCTCGTCGCCGAAAAGGTCCAGATCATCACCAAGAACAACGACGACGAGCAGTACATCTGGGAGTCCGCCGCAGGCGGCACCTTCACCATCACCCAGGACACCGTCAACCCCTCCATCGGCCGCGGTACCGAGATGCGCCTCTTCCTCAAGGAGGACCAGCAGGAGTACCTCGAGGACAAGCGCATCCGCGAGATCGTCAAGAAGCACTCGGAGTTCATCTCCTACCCCATCCAGCTCGTCGTCACCAAGGAGGTCGAGGTCGAGGTCGAGGAGGAGGAGGAGCAGCAGCAGGACGACACCGCCGACGACGCCGAGAAGAAGGCCAAGATCGAGGAGGTCGACGACGAGGACGCCAAGAAGGACAACAAGCCCAAGAAGAAGGTCAAGGAGCTCAAGACCGAGCAGGAGGAGCTCAACAAGACCAAGCCCCTCTGGACGCGCGACCCCAAGCAGATCACCGCCGACGAGTACTCGGCCTTCTACAAGTCGCTCTCCAACGACTGGGAGGACCACCTCGCCGTCAAGCACTTCTCCGTCGAGGGCCAGCTCGAGTTCAAGGCGCTCCTCTTTGTGCCCAAGCGCGCCCCCTTCGATCTCTTTGAGACCAAGAAGAAGCGCAACAACATCAAGCTCTACGTCCGCCGCGTCTTCATCATGGACGACTGCGAGGACATCATCCCCGAATACCTCAACTTTGTCAAGGGCATCGTCGACTCGGAGGACCTGCCCCTCAACATCTCGCGCGAGACGCTCCAGCAGAACAAGATCCTCAAGGTCATCCGCAAGAACGTCGTCAAGAAGACCCTCGACATGATCTCCGAGATCGCCGAGGACAAGGACAACTTTGCCAAGTTCTACGAGGCCTTTGGCAAGAACCTCAAGCTCGGCATCCACGAGGACGCCACCAACCGCGCCAAGCTCGCCGAGTTCCTCCGCTTCCACTCGACCAAGTCGGGCGAGGAGCAGACCTCGCTCAAGGACTACATCACCCGCATGCCCCAGGACGGCAAGAACAACCAGATCTTCTACCTCACCGGCGAGTCGCTCGCCTCGATCCGCGACTCGCCCTTCCTGGAGCGCCTCAAGAAGAAGGGCCTCGAGGTGCTCCTCATGGTCGACCCCATCGACGAGTACGCCGTGACGCAGCTCAAGGAGTTTGAGGGCAAGAAGCTCGTCTGCGTCTCCAAGGAAGGCCTCGAGCTCGAGGAGTCGGACGACGAGAAGAAGCAGCGCGAGGAGGACACCAAGAACTGCGAGGACCTGTGCAAGACGGTCAAGGAGATCCTCGGCGACAAGGTCGAGAAGGTCGTCGTCTCGAACCGCATCGTCGGCTCGCCCTGCGTGCTCGTCACCAACACCTTTGGCTGGTCGGCCAACATGGAGCGCATCATGAAGGCGCAGGCGCTGCGCGACTCGAGCATGTCGCAGTACATGGCCGCCAAGAAGACGCTCGAGCTGAACCCGTCCAACCCGATCGTCAAGGAGCTCGCCGCCAAGTCGAGCCAGGACAAGAACGACACCACCGTCCGCGACCTCACCGTGCTGCTCTACGAGACCGCCCTGCTCACCTCGGGCTTCACCCTCGAGCAGCCGCACGACTTTGCCAACCGCCTCTACAAGCTCATCTCGCTCGGTCTTTCCATCGACGACGCCGGCCTCGAGGCCGACGCTGCTGACGACAAGGTCGAGGCTGCCACCGAGGAGGTGGCTGGCGAGTCGGCCATGGAGTCGATCGACTAAGTCGCTCATCCGTCTTTTGCCGCACGGATTCGTGCTGTACCATACCACCCTACACAAAATCCAGTCTTGTTTTTCCGCAGTCTGCATGTCTATTGATTCTTTTGTGTGTGATTGAGAGAAAGGTTCTAGGACGAGTAGGCCGAGGAGGGGTCGATGAGGATGAGTGCTGCTTGGCTATTTCGCAGTTTGAAGTGGGCAGGCGAGGGGAGCGATTCGATGTGCAGATGGCCGTGCGGGTGGCCGGTGGTGTAGGACTGGCCTGCCCAGGTGACTCTGTCCGAGTCGGCTTCGTTGACAGTCGGGGCGGTCATGCGCTTGACTGCTGGCCTGGCGCCGGGCGGGATGAGGGCTGAAAGATCCAGGCTGATCTCGGCGGTGGCGTTGTACATTGGTTCCAGATTGAGCAGGGCGAGTTTGGAGAGCTTTCCCGATTGCGGATGGTAGAGAGCATAAGCTGCAAACGAGTCGGGGTTGACACCGTTGGGAGGCGGGATTTCTGCGGCTCGAACGGGCTCAGCAAAGGTTTCGGCGAGGAAGAGTTGGGCCACAAACGAGGGTAGGGCACGTGCCTCTCCGCGCTTGGTCGAGTTGACGGGGTAGACAAAGTCGTACGTCGAGAAGCCGGGTTTGCCATCATCGGCAGCCGAGTTGGTCTGTTGACTCGACTGAAACACCAAGGTGGCTCCCTGATGCAGGTGGACAGAGGAGGCGTTTCGCACGGCGTAGATGAGTTCGGAATCGACCACCCACAGCGCCTGGGCAAAGGTATCGGTGACATTGGGCTGACCCGAACATGCGACCGAGTTGAACTCGCCAATGATCCACTCGCTCCCACTGTCGAGCGCAGCTTGGGCCGAGGGCATGATCTCGTCATCCGCGTACGCGCTCAACCGCGTATGGTTGAGCAGATTCGGCAGCGTTGCCACCGCCGCACGTGCAGGATCGCACGTCGCAAACGGATAAGAATGGATCGAGTACTGCGCCACACTCCCCTCTCCATCAATCCCCGCCGGAATCACGTCGACAGGTCGAACGTTCAACCCCGACTTGTCCGTGGTCGCTGAACTTGCCCACCACCTCCTCTTGCCCGCCAGCGCCACCTCTCCCGCCACTCTTGCGGTTGAAAGCGTGGTGTTGACAGCCGCATCGATGCTCCGTGTCCAGTCCTTCCACTGCGCCACATACGCCGCGGTCGAATTGCCCCATCTAGCCGACGGATAGTTGGTAGGCTCGTTGCCCAGCTCCAGATACTCGACGCGTCGAGGCTGGTACTTGACCGACGCCTCTGCCAGCCCACGCGCGATATCGAGGCTGTCATTGCCAAAGTTGAGCGTCGATACAAACCGCAGTTCCTCGGGAAAATGGCTCCACGACTTGTAGTATTCGGGCCCGACGGTGGTGCGGTAAACGCCACCTGAGGGACTCGTGTCACGTACGGGGTCGGTGGCATTGGCATCGAAGATCATCGAGTCCATCGTGATGCCTCCTGGCCGAATGATGGGTCGACCACCGCGTTCGTAGATGCGGTCGAGCAGCGAAAAGGTGAGCGGGTTGGGCGAGGCGTAGGTGCCAAAGAACTCGACCCAGAATGCAGGCTCGAACGAGAAGGATGCAAACGACGACGTGTGCGCGATCGATGCCCCCGCTGCTCCACGCGCAGGTGGTGAGAGAAGGTGCACTTGCGGCTCGCATGACTCGCCGCGCCTGTCGACGGGTGAAGCGTGTACGAGCGTGGCATCGTACGCCAGGACAATCGCACCCAGCACCGCCGCTTGAAGAGTAAGCTTGCTCTTGACCATTTTGTTGCCGTGTCGAAGGTTTATCGGATGGAAGACACAGTCTCGGCGACTGCTCGCCTTGTCCTTATATGCTAGCGTGGTGCCTGTTTCATTCCGTCAGGGCTGTTGGGTTCCGCTGTATGAAGTAGAGCATGAGTGTGGGGGGTGTTACCCCACATCGCTGCGCTAGCCGACGTCCGAACGCCGAAGCCGCCAATTTTACGCGGCTTGGAAACAGACGCACAGAGATTGCCGATGCACCGACCGCGCAGCCGAGGCTGAACCACTCTCTTCCGACAAGGCGAGCCACTGCTTTTCCCGTTGCGGCAATGAAGCTTGGATTCTATTCGGACTCGGTCGGACACTGATGCTCGGACTCGGCTGCCACGAAGCAACGCGTGTCGGACCGACTCTTCCGCGGGGGAGACTTTGGATCCGACTACGCGAATTCACGCATGCGGAGGGCTGTGGTATCGCAAGTCCAATGTATGCCATGCATTCCATGCGTATTCTAGTGAAGAGCGAGAGTTGAGCAGCAAGTCTAGAGCTGGGCCCTGGGTTGAGCGTTGTGCTGGGTCCAAGCATTGCGAATGAAGTTTGCGAACTCCGAGTAGACATGGTCTCTACGTTGGAGCGATGTTGGGCCGCGCGGGAGCTTGTCAAAGCCATGGCCTTCGTTGTCCACGCTGATGAAGCGCGCGTCTTGTCTGCCTGCGTCTGTGAGTTTGCGGACGAGCTTCTCCGACGCATAGTGGAGCGTATCGCCTTGACCACATGCGAGGAGGACAGGTGGGAAGCGATTCGCATCTTGGAAGTAGACGCTGCAGAGCGGATGGCTCTTGTCCTGATCGCGAACAAAGTACGAGTCGAGGAACATGTTGCTCATCCAGTTGGGCAGGGCGAAGCCGCTGTCCGGGCGCTGTTTGGAGGGAGCCGTGCGTGAGCCGGGCCGGACGGTGAAGTCGACGGCAGGATAGAGTGCGGCAACGCCAGCAATGCGCGTGGGGCCCAGCTGCGAAGCTACGACGAGGCTGAGGTTGCCGCCTGCCGAAAAGCCACCGAGAGTGATGCGGTGCGGATCGTAGACCTGGGGCTGGGCAAGGACGTAGTTGACCAGGTCCTGTGCATCGTGGCTGGCGGCCGGGAAGGGATGTTCGGGCGCCTTGCGATAGTCGGCATCGATGAGGATGCAGTCCGGGCCGAGCTGCTCGAGCACGTGCGCGATGAAAGCGTAGTCGTCGCCGAGATTGGGCAGCACGAAGCCGGAGCCGTGCCAGGTGATGTGGACGGGCAGCGGGGCTGCCACGCCGTCCGAGGAGGGCGCGACGCGCTTGGAGCGGTAGATGTGTGCTCGGATGGCGCGGTTCTGGTCGCGCGAGGGGATGTCTACGACGTGGCGCTCGAATGCGTGCGGCAGCGGCGGTCGATTGCGGTGAACGAGCGGACGCAACGAGTTGAGCGAGCGCAAGACGAGCACCATGATCTTGAGACGCAGGTAGCGCAGGCTCCAGTCGTGAAGCCGCTCCTGCGCGACAGCCGATGCAGATGCGGAGACCATGATTGCTCGAGTCGACACGCGTTGCGCTTTTGCTTGCTTGCCAGTGAAGGGAGAGATGGGTCGGAGCTTAGTGGGCGAGATCACCGACGCAGCAGTCTATATGGCATGGGCATGTGTATGCAGCGCGTCAAGAATGGCGAGGGGGCGGGGGCAGCTTTCAGCCGAAGCAAGGGTTGGCGGTAACCTGATCCAGGCGTTGATCCGCGGCGATGCTGGGCGAGCTGCTACTTGAATCTGCGATTTGAGGAGCGTTGTCGCCCCGATGAGATCGCAGCAGCATTGGCGCGAGACCGAGCGGGACCCGGCGAGCCGGTCGATGAGCTCGGGCCCCGATGCCAGAGTCTAAACTGGAGGGGGGAAAGCCGGGGATGTGGAGGTATTTTCGGGTGGGCAGCGCGATAGGCGCGGCTGGATCGCGTCAGGTCGACGTCAGGGTCCAAGCGTTGGGAGGCGGCGCGGCTGCAGCCGGTTGGCAACGGAACCGGCTCCACAGCAGTGTTGCCACCAACGCGTCCTTGCAAGCGGGTCGCAATTCAGGGTTCAGGCAGAGGCCCGCGTCGAGCTGGGTGCGTTGTGGATTGCGTCGCGTCAGCTCGGGCTGAGGTGGGGCTGCCGATAGCGGATCAGCCGGCGCCTCACTGCCACTGCCGCACGCAGCGTCGCACCAGCCAGCCAGCCAGCCCAGCAAACGAGCTGCAGCACCCTGCAGCCGTGCCTGTCAGCTCTGACTCGCCGTTGCGCCCTCTCCGTACGCATCCACGCTCCCCATCCATCCTGCCTCCCAATCACCATCTCAAATCGCTATCGCCAACACCCAACACCATCGACAGCCACATCAACCGCAACACCAAGCAAAGCACAATCCGTCAATTCGCAAGCCAAGTCCAACTTTCCACCTTCCTTGTCCCAACCCTGCCTCGACCCACCGTCTGGATCCCTCTCAGCTCCCATCCTCGCCTCGCAAACGCTTTCAAGACCCGCCTCCATCTGCACAGCATCGCATCACACATCCATACCCACTCTCACCGCCAAGCGCGTCGTCCATGAGCCCTCGCTCCTCCGACTCCAATGCTACCTCATCCAAGCAAAAGAAGAAGCAGGTCGAATCCTCCCCTCCCGCACCCCCTCCTTGCATAGATCAACCTTCTCAGCCTTCCACCCCAGCCCTGCCTCCAACTGTCGCTCCTCCCGCAGTATCCGCATCCGCACACCGCTCACCGCGTGTCTTTGTAGCCTCCGCCCTCAAGCCCGTGTCCGCCATCGATACCGTCACATCCACCATCTCGGCCATCTCCCACCACGCAAACCGCGGCATCTCCAGCCTCATTGCTGCCCACTCCACCGCCACTCACGACGCCACATCCCCCCAACTCGCCGCATCATCCACTACAACCTCCACTCCCCTCCGCACAGACGGCTCCGTATCGCCCATCTACGACGCCTTTCACAATGCCGGAACCCCCGTAGACCCAGCACGCGTACAGGCTGCACTCAGCCACGTCCATCCCGACCACACCGCATCCCGCAAGCCCGCACCTGCCCTACTCTGGTCGCGTTGGGATCGCTTGCCGCATCCCCACCATCCCCACGCTTGGCTGCCTCTCCTCATCTCTTACTTTGACGACGGCTGCCTCCAGGCGCTCCTCGTTCAGGACCGTAACATCTCCGAGCTGCTCTGCATCCCGCAGGCAGCCCAAGCACTCCTCCCGCCTCACTCGCTCCAGCCATCCGCAAACGCACACCTCCTCACCGCTTTCGTCCGCCATCCGCTCCCAGACTCCACAGACATCCAGCTTTTCTTCGTCCTCCAGCACCAAAGCGGCTCAACCCACTTGCTCGCCTACTCGCTCGACACCCACCAGGTTCAAGCCTCTGTACACCTCCAGCATCACTTCTCCCCCTCATCCGACCAGCCAGCCACTACTCTCGACCGCGTCGACGCGCAGATCACCCACCGCTACCTCGTCCTCTCCTTTGCTTCGCCGCCTTCAGTCCATGTTCTCTCGGCCGCCACACTCGAATACCTTCAGCCTCCTCTGCTCGACGCCGCTTCTCCCGCCCAAGGTCGTCCCACGCCCATCTCCCTGTCGGATCGCCTGCTTGCATATGCATGCACAACACCCCAGCACCTCTCGCCTGTCCGTTTCGATGCACGCAAGACCTCCAATGCTTCCTTCCAAGATACATCGCGATCGTACGTAGCTCCTCAACCGCACGCATCCGCACGCGTCGGCGAGATGCGCGACAACCTCTTCGACACCTCGGCACACGTCGGCGATGCCGCTCGCCGCATCCGTGGCGGCGTCATGAGCGGCGTTCGCACCCTCGGCGAGTGGGGCAGCTCCTACTGGCCCAACCCGGGCAGTTCGCCCAACAACGCCGCCTTCTCGCCCTCCCAGCCCAGTCTGCTCTCCCAATCGGCTCCTCACAACCCTCACCCACCTCGTCCCGCTTCCTCGGCCTCCAGCTCGCCCAGCCTGCCTGCCGTAGACTCCGCCCGTGCCAACAAGCGCCTCTCGTCCGGCTCCACCGTCGCCCCGCTCACAAAGTCGGAGGTTAACGCACAAGCTTCAGCTTCCAATCCCAACAATGCATGCGTCCGCATCCTGGACCTTGGCTCCGACGCGCGCACCGTCTGCGCTTTTGCTCCCTCCACCAATGCAGTCGCCCTGGTCGCATTTAGCCCCTGCGGCCGCATGATCCTCACCGCCGACGTGCTTGGACACGCCTTCAACGTATTCGAACTGCCGCTCGTCGGTGCATTTGCAAGCGGCTCCCAGCCCTCGGCTTCCACGCTCCTCCACCGCTACAAGCTCCTGCGCGGCATCACCCTCGCAGACGTAGTCCGCGCAGAGTGGAGCCCTGACGCTCAGTGGATCGCCATCGGCACTCGAAGCGGCTCAGTACACGTCTTTGCCGTCAATCCCTTCGGCGGCGAGCCTTCGATCGCCAATCACGTTCTCGGCAAGATTCGCAACCCGCGCACTCTCCAGCCCTTTGGCATCTCGCTTCACAGCGCAGCGCGCTCCGTCCGTCCGCACCCATCAGCCCACCAAGACGCCGCGGCTCAACCTTCAGCTGCGACGAAAATGGATGCCGGCTTGGCTACGCAAGCTCTGGCCACGCCCAAGTATTGCTCGCCATCGTTTATCATGATCAACGTCGGCTCGTCATCGAGCGCCGAGTCGGGGGCCGACGCCAGCACGCCTTTTGAGCTGCTCACCAACGATCCACGCTCTCACACCATCACCCAACACGCACTCCGCTGCTGGAGTTCCCAGTCTCGCACCCGCGTTGCCGTCGGCAACGACGAGCCCATGTACAGCGTCAGTCTCGAGGCCAAGCGGCGCTTTGCCTCTTCCACCTCGCCACGCTCCTCGGGCCTCACCCACATGATGAGAAAGGCCGGAGAGGGCCTGCTCAGCGCACAGAACAACCCACGCCTTCAGGCCGAGTGCGTTCGTGTTGCCCTGTGGGACCACCTCCTTCCCGACACAGACGCCGTGATCAAACACAGCTTGACCGCGCTCTTTGACCACAGAGAAATTCGCCCCAAGGATCGATCTGACGACATCGCCCGCACACGATCTTCCTCCATTGCCAAGGCCGAGATCGAAACGTACAGCCAGTCGCCCGCCATGCTGCCCAGCTCCATCTATCTCTCTCGCCAGACCTTCTTCCACACGCGCATGCCCGTCGCCGGCAAGCTGGCGGCTGCAGCAGCATCGACTCCGGAAGCAACGCTGCGCTGCATTCCCAGACGAGCATCACGGCCGATCCAGGTGCGCCGCACCGCTCGCATCGTCTCGCGCGAGCCGTCGTCCGAGGCGCCGAGCTCCTTCGGCGACAGCCTGTCGGGCGCGTTGGACCAGATGTCGTTCGACCCGGACAACCTGCCTGCCAGAAGCGCCTCTTCCCACATCCCCAGCTTTCCGCAGGGCCAGCGAGGTCGCTCCTCGGGCTGGACCGCCGGCAGCTCCATCCCCATCCGCATCGTTGCTGGCGGCCTGGGTGGCATCTACCGGGCTGGCAAGGAGCTTGGTCGCGGCGTCGAGATGGCACGCCGACGCACCAGTGGAGCTTCTCGCACCGCCGTCTCTGACGTTGACGCGCACTATGCTGCCGATGCTGGCCCATCAGTCTCGTTTGACGGCGAGGATGACGTTGACCTGTTGGGCGAAGACGAAGGATTGGGCGCTTCGCGCAAGCGACACTACGCGGCGCGGGGCAGTGTCGAGGCTCACTTGGACGCAGCCTCGATGCCGTCGCAGGCATCACTCATGTCGACGCTCAGGAATGATGGACAGCTGCGCGGCTCCCAGCCTAGCTCGGCCGAGACGCCCTCGACACGATTCAGTGAGGCCGATGATGCGGGTGCCGACGGCGGTTCAGGCAGTGCGGACGACTGCGACTGGGATGCCATCGAGGCGAGCCGTAGCCCTGCCGCGATGCACGCCTCTCTCTCCGGCCAGAGTGGCGGCGCGGCTCCGAGCATCCCCGGCGGTCTCGAGCCCGATAGCCTCGAGGACGACTTTACTGTCGGCAGGCTCGACGAGGACTCGGGACAGAGCACGGTCACCCAGTCGCTCTCAAACATCTCGGCATTGTCAGCCGGGGCGGCGAGCAAGGCTGTGCCGCCCAAGGAGCTGGTGTACGCTCTTCCAGCCAACACGTCGACGCGCTCGAGCCTGCTCGGTCAGAGCACTGGCCTTGCCGGCGCATTCGAGGCTCGAGGCGAATCCAAGGATGCTCGACTGGGCGTGCGCGATGCCAGCCCGTCTCACTCGGATGGTGGCGCTGACAGCGGCAGCCAGATGAGTGCCGCTTCGGGTCTCCTGTGCGAAGGCAGTAAAGAGACATTTACGCCCGAGACCGCATCGATCAAGATTGCGGAAGAACCCAGCCCGGTGCAGGCCGTGGCAGTGCCCAAGATCAGCACGTCCGGTGGCGGAAAGAAGAAGAAGAAGAAGTCGGGCCGCTGAACTTATGGATGACCTCTCGACGACGCACTCAAATCATATATACCAAACTAGATCACTGGCCCGCAATTCAAGGCAGTTGTGACGATGAAATTGATTCAATCAATTAAACGTATCTGTGGGGAAGCCAGCGAGTGTCTAGAAAAACAAAGATGGCGCCGATGAGGAGGGGATTGCATCACTTTGGCTGTTTGCTGGCGGCGACGGCGGCGATTCTTCGCTGGTAGAGTTCCTTGTCCTTTCCTTCCCAGGTGGATCCGTAGCCGTTGTCCATGGCGCGCTGCATGCTCTTGTGGGTGACGGTGTTGTCGCCGTTGTCGAGGACGGCCAGCAGACGTCGGAACCAGTCGGGGGCGGTTCGGAGCAAGGGAAGGAGGTTGGCGAATCCGGGGAGCATGAGGTGTTGAGAGAGACCCGAGTCGAGGCTCCACACGACGCGCTGGGCAACTTGGATGGGTTCCAGCACGGGCGTGAAGAAGGGATCGGCATGATCCTCCATACCGTCACCCAGGGCGGTTCGGACCTTGGTGGGTGCAACGAGGGTAGTGCGAACGCGAGGGGCGTTGTAGCGCGTGCGCATCTCGATGGCCAGACACTCGTGGAATGCAAGTGCAGCCGCCTTGGAAGTGGCGTATTCGGACATGGACGGAAGCGTAGCATACGCGCCTGCCGACGAGACCGTAACGATGTGACCGTGGTTGCGCGCAATCATGTCGGGCGCAAACTCCTTGGCGGTGATCCAGTTGGCGAGCGTGTTGATGCGCCACAGACGCTCGGCAGAGTCGAGATCGACGTCAAGGATGGTGTTGCCCGACGCTACGCCGGCACAGTTGATGAGCACGCCGACCTTCTTGCCGCCAAACCCGGCGCGGATCTTCTTGCCGACCTCGGCCATCTGCTCGCGGTTGGAGACGTCAGTCTTGAAGTAGAGGATCTCGGGTGCGCCCGCGGGAGCAGCAATGTAGGCGGGCGGAGCCATGTCGAGCACCGCAATGTGCGCCTTCTTCTTGTGGCTGAGGAGCTGAACGATCTCCTTGCCGATACCCTGGGAGCCGCCGGTGATGACGACAATGTCGTTGGCATAGTCGATGGGATCGCGCCTCCACTCGGTGTGGTTGCGGTTGTACCGGTTGAGCGCACGGTTGATGGTGCGGATGAGGATGAAGGACCAGATGTAGCCCACCCACTTGTACTGGGTGAAGACGAGCGAGCGGAGCAAGGGGAGCAGCTTGTCGTAGGTGGTGGGGATGGCAAGCGTCGGGTTGGTGTGCTTGTGGTAGAGCAGCGTGAGTGCCGGGAGGAGCGCGAGGAAGGGCGTGGAGAAGGGCACCTTGCCAAGGATGCCGAGCACCGTGTCAAAGGTGAATGGCTCACGGAACTGGGTGAGCCCGGTTGCGGATGTCGACGAGGCCGTCATGGCTGGTGTATCGAGAGACGCAGGGAGGAGTAGAAGTGGTATGGTGGGGGGAGAGCGAGCGACGCCAGCTGTGTCCAGTGGTCTAGCTTATAAATACGAGGACAGACGAGGGCAGGCGCTGCGGATGGAAGCTGTCGAGCGAGTGTGGGGAACGGCGAAGAAAAAGTGGGCGGCTTGCGGGGAGGATGGGCGCAGGAGCGGCAACGCTGCTCGCCAAAAGGACGACGAGCGCGACGGCCGCATTCGTGTGAAATGCACGCCGAGCGGCGTCAGGGTCCTGGCGTTCACCGCTTGGGAGCCGCAGTGTCTGATGGAGGTCGCCTCCACACGCTGGCAAATTGCAAAGTAGGCTGGATGGAGCGCCGCTCTCATGCGCAACAGCCAGACGAGAGCCGACGTCGCCGCGCCGCTCAGGACCAAGTGTTGGGGAAGGCCATGTATGTTTGTGCGTCAAGTGATGCGCTACTGCAGCTTCTTTGCATCCGTGCCCGCACGGCCGCTCCGTGTTGGCCGCTTGGTGCCCACCCGTCCAGTCGTAGGCTGTCCACCGGTACATCTTCCAACATTACCAGCGTGACGGTACCACCATATGTGCACCATTGCATTGGTTGCCACTGGTCGCCTTTTGTTGAGAACGAATGATGAGCACCAGATCGGCGCTGGCAGGACAGGACGACACTCGGCGCTCGGTGCTCGATGCTCGGTGCTCGCTGTTCGAAGAGTGACCTCATGTTGGACAAGGCCAGAGAGCGGAATTGGACATCCCTCTGCAGCGCCCCCTCGCCAGAGAAGAGAAAAAGGCGCGTGAAACTCGTCGGCGCGTCGGCCACCACTGCATCGGGGCTTGGATCAGCATGACTAAGCTGGTCGATCGGCCTCCACCGAAATGGAAAATGGCCGCCGCGCTGTTCCCCCACCACGCTGCCCCACATCTCCGCCTCCGCCACCCGGCCCATCCACTTCACCGCCAGCATCGCTCTGCATACCGGTCTTGTCACAACTGCAACCGCGCCAACATGCTCTCTGTCGCCACCTTTGGCATCGCTTTCTTCGTGGCCATGGTCGCCATCAGCACCGTCATCACCATCCTCGAGTGGTGATTGCGTGCAAGCCTTGTCAAGCCCGTTCGAGGCGTCCGATGTCTTGCTCGGCCTGTCGCATCAGGGCCCGTAGCTTCCTCGGAAGGTCAAGTATCTCTCCCATACGACCGCACTCAACAAATGACCAGCGACTGCGCTTGAAGAGCGCTCCGTGCCATCCACGATCGCAATCGTCGCTCCTTTATCTCTCTACGTCTTCGCATCCGCATTGCCTTCGTTCGAAGCTCGAATGTCCCCCTCAGTATACCCATCCAAAACTTCTTTCGTTCACTCGACCCGACTTCATAGTCCTGTGCGCAGCGTGCAGAGTCTGCCTGCTCCTGTTCGTGAGCTCTCGGTTGCTGCCAAAAGCATGCGAGTCGAAAGGCTCGGTACGAAATTGTGAGACTCCTCGTTTGCACATAATTGATTTTGGCAAGAAGAAGGCAGCCGAGTCCCGCGATTTGAGCGCACTTTTTGCGGAACTCTCTCTCTCTCCACTTTGAGAAGGAAAGCTTGACGTTGCTTAGCTGTTCCGCTCCCAACTCGATCCTTTTCACCACTACCGTTAACATCATGTTCTACGACCTCAATATACCCTGGCCGCAGCCAATGGTCTCCTCTTCTTCCGCCGCAGCACACTCGCAGTCCTCCAAGAAAAAGTCAAAACAGAATGCTGCCGCTCTTTCGGCCTCGACCGCATCGTCCTCGGCAGCAGCTACCCCCGAACCACCCGCTTCACCCCTCGCCGCGCTACGCCAAAAGGACGCTGAAGCGCTCGCACAGCTCGTGCTCGAATTGAGCGAGCTGCGCTACTCCTGCGTCGCCTTCAACCACGTCGTGCAGTCCAAGTACGATCCGGCGCAGCATCCCAACGCTCTCGCACCCTCCCGCGACGGCCGTCCCAATCCGCCCTTCCCCGAACTCGATCCGCGCACGCAAGCAAAAGGCAAGGCAAAGGCCACCTCCACGACTAGCTCACACCCCGTCACCCAGCTCAGCCGCCTCACGCTCGTCCTCGACGAACACTCGATGGCCAAAACCGGCAGCGGTTGGGTCACCAACAATGCCACCGCTCTTCAGAGCTACGATCTGCTAGCCGTGCGACCTACCAACGAAGCTGCCTTTCAACACGCCTGCCTCACTCTCTCCGAGCTCAAGCCATTCAGCATCGACATCATTTCGCTCGACTTTGGCGCACAGCCGAGACTGCCCTTCTTCCTCCGACGCTCCACCGTCAATGCGGCGCTCGAAAACGGCGTCCAATTCGAGATCACCTATGCACCCGCTATCGGCGACGACGCAGCCAAGGCAAGGCGCAATCTCATCAGTGGTGCTCGCGATCTGCTGCGCGTGACCAACGGCAAGGGTGTCTTCTTGTCATCGGGTGCAGCAGACGCCCTCGCTCTCCGTGCGCCGTACGATGTCATCAATCTCGGAGCCATCTTTGGTCTCAATCCTTCCGCCGCTCGCGACGCCATCTCGAACAACTGCCGCAGCCTCTTGCTGCGCTCCCAGACGCGTAAGACCTACCGCGGCGTCGTTTCGCATCCGGTTGTGATCCCCGCCATCTCCCAATCCGATTCCTCCAACATCGATCTTGGAGAGACCAACGGCAAGAAACGCAAGTCGGCTCACCTCTCCGAACCAGCCTCGTCACTCTCCCAGGCTCAGCCAGACTTGCAGCCGAACACCAAGAGCAAGAAGCACAAAAAATGACCGTCGTATCGCCATTCTGCACCGCGTCGCAGCAGGTTGCCTTTCATTTCAAAGATTGACAGTGCGCGGTTCGTCAGCTTCGTCATTCAGTGAGCTGGCGACCGGTCGCTCGAGAGTCGAGATTGACAACGACGAGGATGACCTTGTTCCGGTCCATGAGATGTTGCAGTTTGTTCTTGTCCAGCTTTTCCTCGTGGCGAGCTTCCTCCTTCCGCAAGAACTCCAGAACACCGGCTTCTCCCTCGCTGCAGCGGATTCGACCGATCGTGTCTTGCCGCTTTTTCTCCCGCCGAACACTCTTCTTGGCGGGAAGTCGGTCTTGCCACACATTGTAGCTCTCTACCTTGTCGGCCATCTTGTCGACCAACGTAGTGGAGGGCGTCTTGATCTGAGATGGTCGTATCGGAGCATACTGGTGCGGCAGGATTCGCACGTAGCCAGGACCGTAGTCGAACGGATCGTAGTCGATCGGTCGTTTGTTGAGGTTCAACAGTCCACCTTTGGCCTTGGGATGATCTAGCGGGAGGACGTTGGGCGAGCCAAGGCTGAACTGGAAAGTGCTTGGTTCGAGTGCTGTCTCCTCCTGTTGCACGCCATTCGATGGCGAGGACACGGCGTGAACGCTGGAGACAGGGACAATCTGAGCATGCAAGCCGCGCGGATGAAAGTAGCGCTGGTTGGCGTGGGCAATGTACGCTTGACTCTTGGCACGGCTCTTTACGTGCATTGCGGTGGTGGTCAGAGCTTGTGCACCAATAGTGGCCACAAGCACCTCCCACGAGCTGCAGGCAATCGTGCCGACGTCCACGGCAAAGTTCAGGATCTTGACCTTGTTGTCGAACCCAATAGCGGCGTTGAGAGTGTTGAGAAAGTGGAGAAACTCGGGCTCCGTGACACCGCTGGCGGCCAGATCAGGTGCGTAGAGCAGCTGAAAACCTCGCAGCCGATCCGCCTGTCTTCGCTGCGGAATGAAGACGGGCTTCACGAGCGGAGGCGGAAGTGTGGCCGGTGGATCGGCAAAGTACTTTGGATATGGCTTCGAATCTTCGCACGCAGCACTGTTCTGCTCCAAAGGCTTTCCCTTGAGACGGCGCCGATCATCTTTGCGATCGAGCTTGTCCTTGTAGCGCGTGATGAGAGTGTCCATGTTGGGCGAACCTGGTGGCAGGAGTACACAGCCGGGTCGTTGGGCGACAGCGGAGCGGATAATGTGGGGCGGAAAGGCCTTTTAAGGCCCTCGGCCGCGAAGCTCAAGCTCGAACGCTAGCCTGTTTCGTTGGATTGCTACAGGGAAGATCGTGCGAGCTTCCACCTTGACTTGAGCGTTGAGGCTGCGGCGCCTCACGACTGGGCCGGCGGCCACAGCGCTTGGTCAGGGTCCAGCAGCACTCGAATAGGCGCAACAAGCGCCAATCAACGATTGACGAATCAAGTTTGGAGTTTTCCATAACGTTGGGCAGTGGCGCCCGCCGAACAATGCGGCTTCGGCACTCGGCTCGGTGCCTTGTTCGGCAGCAGCCAGCCTAGTGCCCAGTCTGTTACAGCTGCACATACACCACAGTCACAGCCCGCAGCGATGAGCCTTCTTAGAATTGACCACCGGGCTTTGCAAGCACAAGACACAGACCCATCCGACGCCATCTGGTCTTCAGCGACGACAAGAGTGCCGGCAAGGAGGATCCTGCGGCCCAGCCCGGTCCGACGCAACCCGAATAGCAACGGAAGCCTCGATCCTCACCGCTTCGACCCGCCCGAGGTCCGCCGACCGGTCAGACGTAGCGCACGTCCACGAGCTCTGCGCCGACATTAGCCGTCGTGGGATCAGGTTGAAGCACACTTGAGACTGAACCGCTCACTGCGATGCCGAGCACAGGAAAGGCGACAATCAAGGACCACTGATATCAAGCACCCGTGGCGAAAGATTTTCGACAACTTGATCATCTGATCGGCACTCGACACCTTGTACACGGGTGTGTGGTAACCTCGGATGCCCGCAACGCCGATCCGAGGGCGCCAGATTCTAAGCGAGGCCAGGCACAATTTGGATTGGCAGAGCCACTCAAAGACTTGATGTTCTGCAGTCCTTGACTGTCGATGGCCATGTCTACGCTCCGCTTCACAGCTACCCACAGCCTCAATCTGGTGACAAGGCAAACGACAAGGAAGATGCGAAGCCGTCGCAGAGCGAAATCAAAGCTGGCAGGTCCCGCACAACCTGCCTTTTATTAATAACCCTTGCCCTCGGTGTTAGCAACGACAGACCATGTCTCGGCGCAAACTCGGATCGGAAGCGCAGCTCGGCTCGGGCGGCCTTTGAGCGCCACCACCATGTCGACGCCGCCCGCGGGCATCAGCGCTCTTCCCCGCGACTGTTGGCGGTCCCCCACAATTGTCAGTCGCCTCTTCACCTCCTCTTTGGCAGGTCCAGTTACCCCACAATGTCAATGCAAGCAGCCAACTTCAGTGTGTGTGCCCCGACGCCGGCTTGTAGCGGCATGCTCGCAGCAATATATAATGTAGGCAACAAGGTTGCGCCGCTGCCCCACCTGCTCCCCTCGCTGTCCCCGTTCTTGCCCCGCGCTCCTACAATCCTTCGTCAACCAATCCATCCTGCCCTGGAAGTTGATCGAGTCGCTCCGTAGCGTTTCGAGTCACGATGCAGCAATCTCGCAATGCATTGGGGCCGGCCTCGCTCCTGCTGTGGGTGTCGCTCGTATTGCAGCTCTTCGCCCAGCAGACGCTCAGTAGCGTGGTGCCCGTAACCGAAGATCTGCTTCGGCGCCAGTCTGGCGGCGCGCCCGTCCCTAACATCCCGCTCTGCGTGCCCCCGCTGCTCACCTCACCACTCACCGGAAAGTATCCCCCCTCGGCAGTCACAACCGTCCAGACGGGCAAGAACTGTAACCAGTATGGCGACCCACCCGCACGCATCCTCTCCAACCTCGAGTCGCCCGACGGTCTGCAAGACCTCCTCCAGATCTGCCACGGCGAGATCGTCCAGATGACAGACAACACCGGCAAGCCGCGCGCCATGTGCTTCTATGCCAATCCCAAGTCCACCAAAGACAAGCCCTTGCCGCTCCTCGTCTGGCTTCATCCCTCGCTGGTCAGCCCATCGTATTCCTTCCCGCTCACTGGCATCGATCTAGTGCGTGACACGCAGTCCCTTAACAACGAGGATGCTTCGCGCCTCGGCTTCTCCTACATCCTCCCCGCCGGACGCAACACCGAGCACCAGTACCCCGTCCCGGACAACGTCGGGCTCGGCTGGGACAACTGGTACCGCAACCTTGACCGCTCCTCGCCTGCGCTCAACGCCGATGTCTCGTTTGTAGACAAGGCCATCTCCTACGCCAAGGCGCATGTGCCCGTCGACTCGCGCCGCGTCTTTATGTCCGGCTGGTCCAATGGTGCCGCCATGTCCGAGCTCTATGCCGCCAACACCGACGGCATCGCAGCCGCAGCTGTCTACAGCGCTCCCGATCCCTATCGAGACTCGCAGGACCCGTGCACCCAGGTCCCATATCCCAAGTTTGCAACACCCGTGCGTGACGTGCACAACTACTGCGACCTCATCGGCATCTGCACCACCGGTCAGTACTACTATGCCGACCTCAAGAAGCGCTATCCTGCGCTCAAGCAGAGCCTCGTCGTCATCGACACCCTCACTGCCGCCATCAAGGGTACGGACGCCAGTGCAAGCTGCGATCCCGTATGCCAGGGTGCGTGTGGCGTCACTCAAGGCTTGGTCGCCCACCTCCGGTGGCCCGCCACTCGCAACACCGACACCTTTTTCGCCTTCCTCCGCAGCAACCCTCTGCCCTCCTCGGGCACCTGGGGCTCTCCTTAGTCAACGCATCGATTTTCGAGCCATGCAGGCCATGCGTTGTCGTAAGACCAGGTCTCATGTCTCCCAATTATCGTTGTTATACGCGTCCCCTACTATCAAATTGCGTACCGAATGTTTCATGGTTCGGGAGCTGCCCCTACCCTGGGTTTGCCTTGTGATGTTTGCGGGATGATTGTAGCTCTAGATCGACCTGAATGAAGAGTCCGAGCGCGGGACCAGCTCGAAATGCCATTGCATTGCAACGCGTTGCAGCTACATCCAACCTTGTCACATTGCGGCTATCTACATGTGAGTGGCAAGCAAGGTGGCGGTCAAGGCGCAGCCGGCAGCGAAGGCGATCGAGACGTGCAACATGTTCACTGGCTGGGCCAGGTTCACGTTCCCTCCCGGTGCCGCTCGTTTACCCGTCTGAGAGGATGTCATCGGGGGGCTTCTGATGGGCCGCAAGTCATCCGGCGGCGCCTGCCATGCATCGTGCTCTTTCGCTCGTATCAAGAGCCTCTGCTGTTCTTCTTTGTTTGTCAAGGGTGCCACGGAACGCATGCCGGGAAGCCCATCGATCGACAGCGTGTTGCAAATCGCCCAGTACAGCTCCAGTGCCGAACCAAGGCGCCGGACGCGCGGACCGCCATCGTGTCCTTTCTCCACAACGATGCCCTCGGCATCGACGGAAGGAGACGTAGCCCCTTTGTACTTTTGCAACGCCTCCATCCCGCCGGGCCGATCGTATCTCGAGTGATAGTCGTCCAGGACAGTACGCTTGCGTTGAAAGTGGAATACGGGCAGGCTATATCCGCATGAAGTTGCACAGGTGTGTACGGCTACGTCGATGATGGCGCGTAAGCCAATCGGCACCGGCTTCCCTCCATGCTCATCACGCCACTTTTGATCGAAACCAGCATCGGTGGCGCGTTCAAATACCGTCCCCTTGCCATAGAGGCGAACGATGTTGGGTGCGCCCTCTTCGATGTTGATAAAGGCCAAGGTGATCCGTCCGTTGCCCGGTTCCAACAAGTGGCTGATGGTCTCGTTACCTGACCCGGTCAGATCGGCGTAGCGCACACGATGCGTGCTGGTCACTTCGAATGCTCCTTCGTTGGCTTTGGGCGAGACATTGACCGAACCGCCATGCAGCGGGGCGGTGGCAACGAAGAAGAGGCGTTGCCTCAGCATGAACTCGTGCAGATGCTCCGGGATGTGGTCGTAGAATTTCCCCATGTTGATGACGAGGGAGGTGTGGTTGTGCAGGAGTAAGAGCGAGGTGCGCGAGACGACACAGGTGGAACGGCGTAGGAGCACAAGAGCACCAGTGGCAGCCGCGAGAATACAATACAGTCATTACAGGCCTGACGTCTGGACCCTGTCGCCTCGGGCCGTGTGGAGGCATTCGGCACGCAAAAGCGAGTCATTCGCTCCATGCCGTCGGACATGAATGGCACGTTGATCTACGTCGGTTTCAGCCTGTGCCTCTCCAAACCCTCGACACGGCACAGTAGCTCGGCGCTGCCCAAACACAGATGTGGGGCTGCGGCTCCTCGAGGCTGCCTCCTGCTTCTTGTGGCTCGAGCCTGGCCTTAGGGCAATCGAGACTCGGTGACTGGATGCTCACTTCCAATGTCATGTCGGCCGGATTTAGTGGGCAACTAATGGGAAAACGGTGCAAGACTGAAGTCGTGGTTTCGTTGGCGAGAGGCTCGTCGGTCCCCTCACTCCATCATCTTGTCGTCGCTGCGACAGGACGATCGACACATCTATCACAGCGCCATGCCAGCATTTGCACGTAATGTCAGCCACCCTCGCAGGGGCGGACGCACCAGATCAGGTGCCGGCAACGCTCTCCGCACATGTCTCAGCTGTCGTCGAAGCAAGACTCGCTGTCAACTTCCGGACCTGACCGTCGCTTCCTCGGCCACGCCTCTATCCGACGACAAGGCTTGTCGTCGATGTCGATCGCTCTCAGCGCCCTGTGTCGTGGACGACTCGCAGAGGCGGGTCACTAAAGCCGGAACCAGCCGGTACGGTTTGGATGGCCTCCTCGAACGCAGCGCATTGGCTCATACGACGCAGTCGGATGGTCATAATCTTTCGCAACCGCGCAGAGCGCACAGGGCGCACAGGGCGGTCCACTCGCCTTCAGTATCGCAGGCAGACGATACGGCGTCAAACTCGCTCAGCATCGATGGCAGTGCGGGCTCCATCCGGGTCCGCAGCAGATCGACCAGCAATGCGCCCAGCCAAGACCACATGCTCAGTTCCGACCTGCATACGACTGCGTCAGACGATCCGACCCCTCCGAATTCCAGCATTTGCATTCCCGAGCCGCTTCGACCGGGTATGCTCGACTTGCTCTACCCCGATATCAGCGCCGCCTTGTCTGCAACAGCGGCTGCTGCGAGCAGTGCATCTTCCGCGTCGCCTTGCTCAGCGCCGGAACCTTCTGGCTCCGCCAACGAGTCCAGCGCCAGTTCCCCTTGCCCCCCTTCCGTCGCCGCTTTGGCTTCGATAGATCCTCATTGTGGAGCTAGCGTTCTCGAGGTCTGGAATCCGTTCCTCTACTGGATCAAGCTTCTCCGAGCACGTGAGCCTCCCACCACTACCAACGACTTCCTCGCCGTCACACTCCAGCATCTCAACCTACTGCTCCTTTCAAGCCCCTGCCATGGTCCTGCGCGGCAGCCTTCATCCGCAACTCTGCCAGACAGCGCTCCGCATCGCAAAGGCGCTGGACCGAAGATCGCATCTTCGCGAAAGAAGCTCATTCACAGGGTCGCTCAAATCTTCCTTGGCCGCGAGCCGCCTTCGCTGCGTGCAATCCAAGCACTCATCCTGCTTTCGGTCTACGACCCCCCGGATCTGTTGCTGCGACATACGCCCGAAGAGGGCAACGACCCCCACAACGGCGGTGCAGATGCTGATTTTGCAGATGCACCTGAAGCTAGCCAAGATTCGCCCTCGCCAAGCGCCGCGGTGCCCGCTCTGCCGCCTCCCGGTCGAGCGCTTGTCGATCTTGCGTGCAGCATGGCACATCAACTAGATTTGCCGCGCATCGTTGCCTCAGCTACCGAGAACAGTGAATGCAGAGCCGATAGCCAAGAGACCCCCTCGGATATCGTGCGCTTCTTGACTCTGATCGCGCTCTTCAATTTACGAGCCAACTATTTGCCCTCACGGACAGCGAACGAGGTCAAAGCTGCAGACGACCTGACCCTGCTGCACGGCCTGTCCATTCAAGCTGTCCTTGCCCGCTGCGACAATCTCAGCCTTGGCGCAGCAGCCGATGCGCGAGTGCCAGCTTGCCAGACGATCGCCATTCGTTCGCTTGCTTCACAGTTCAAGATGAGCAGCGCCTTTGTTCACGCTCTTCGCAAACTGAGAGCTTTTCCTCTGCCCATATCCACCGTCGACACCAGAGTGGAGGAACTGCACGCCCGGTTTCGCTCCGTGGTGCAGACAGCACTGTATTGTTTCGCGCTCGACACAAAGCAAGGTGGGTCTGACTGCATGACGAAGATCGAAGTCATCATTCTCTCAGCTCACGACGCCCCTCTCATGATCTCTGATTTATTTTTTTCGACATGATCCCCGCCGGTGCTCATGCAGAAGGAGATAGCAATGCAGCTGACCACTGGCTCGTCATACTACGCACACAAGCCACTGATATGGAACTGGCCCTGTGGTCGCACTGCATTTACCTCGAGCTTGGTCCTCATGCCTGTCCGATGCCGTGCGCCGATGACGAAACGGTAAATGCCCCTAGCTCAGTGGGATATGACGCAGTGTTCCCCAAGCTCAAGGCACGTAACTTTCAAGGAGGCCGCTTCTTAGCCACCGTGACGGAAAGATGCACAGACCTAGCGCACGTCGTGCTCAACATCTCCTACGAACTACTCACTGCGCACGGCGAGGCCCACTCGACTTCTGTTGCGCCGCTGATCCTTCGTTGCACCGCTGTCTTCCGAGCCGTCAAGGTCCTATCCCAACTATGGATGCTGGTGCTGCTCAAGTGGTCTAGTCTTTCTGCTCGTTTGATACAGGCATTGGACGTGCTGGACATCGCAGCAAGGACGCTCCGCGATGCGAATCAGCCTTGTATGCCGGAACTAGCGCTGCTAGTGAGGCACTTCCTCATCCGTACGAACGAGGCCCTGAGAGAGGTAAGTTGATCCTTCCCGCCCTCTTCGCTCGGCGCATCGTTTGTGCGACAGCGGCCGAGTCTTCCGCAGATGTCTGGGAGGCTCACCACCGCCTCTGACCTCATTTGCACAGCTCCTTCAAGCCAAACAAGACGAGTTGGCCCGCAGTGATCGCAAAGGGCTCATCGACTTGGCTGGAGGGCTTGACCATGACTGCGAGGTAGCGGAGGTGGACCGTGATCCAAACGCTCTGATCGCAAGAAGCAGCGGGAATCTCGGCACCGCGAGAAGCGACCGATCCCAGTCCCGGTCTCAGATTGCCACTAGAGTCGATAGCCAGGCGGGCGGCATACATCCTCTCGCGACGCACTCTTCGCCTCGTCACGTCGAGTCTGCAGTTCATGCTTCCGAGACCCAAGGCCAGGAACTCTGGATCGGGTCGATGCCGTCGCAAACGCGCCATTCCCTGTACCAATCGCACCGCCCAGACCACCATCAGCATCAACATGCGATGCAGGGATTTCACCAGCAACATCAGCAGATCGAGCTACAATCGCCGCCTCTACATACAGAGCAGCGGCAGACTTCGCATCCACAACTGGGAGGCTATGGTGGCCAGTCATCGGCTTTGTGGTCCGCGGCTGCTGGTACGATAACCAGCCCCCAACCGATTGCGCCTCATCCGGGCTTGGACCATGAAAGCATCCTGTGGGACGACCTATGGTCTTGGGACCTTTTGGACATACCCCACTGACCGTAGTTCACCCGCAATGTCGCAAAGATGAGGGCAAGAGTGAATTGTAGTGTAGGTCACGAATGCAGTGAATGCAGGACAGATTTTGGGAGTTGAGCGGCAGCGAAGCATCGCTTTAGGATGCCGGTTCATGCATGTTGATAGGGATTGTGTGTGAGCGGAAGCTTGGAGATCGTGTCCTCACCGGACGGAATCGGTGGGCGGCCGCGAAAGCTGATCGCGGGGAACACTCTGGAAGGCCAGGCGAGCGTGTATGGTGCAAGTGCGAAGACGAGGGGAAGTGCATCGAGAAGGTAGAAGCATGCCTGGCTTGCAGAGATGCGCGAGTCTGGGCCGGGAGCCAGTTCGATGATTCTGTACAGGAGTCGGATCTGCAGGGGCGGCGCAAGGATAGGCAATCAAAGTTAGCATGAACCCCTTATGATCGGTGCATTCATGAGCTACTCACAATGATGAATACGGAACTGAGCCAAAGTACTCGGAAGAGGTGGATGGCGCTTCTGCCGCACCCTGCCTCATCTTGCTTGAGGCTGGGACAAGACCTCTGACACCTTCGGAGCAGACTGGTGTAAATGATGTAGGAAAAAAGCTGCAGACCGATGCCGATAAGGCCAATGTAGTGACCCAAGGTGGCAACATCGCTGGAAATCTTCATGAGCCCACCGGCGACTTGGACGAGAAGGGTGACGACGTCGCTCCATACGAACAACGTCTTGACCCAACGCGGCGAGAACCCGACGAGACGGCGCTTTGATTTTGTGATGCTTGGATTGGACTCGAGAACGTGGGCAATGCGGCCGAGGAGGATGTAGTCTGCAAGGGAGGCGCAAATAGAAGTGAACAAGTGATCGAGACTATGGGAGGCGGGGACGATCTCTCGAGCGTGCAACCCAAAATGCTAGGAGGGCGAGGCCACGTACTGAAGGCGAGATACGCCACGGGAGCGATCTGAACAAACAAATCGCCGGAGAAGTAGAGACCGAACGTTGGATTGGAGTGGAAGCGGACCTTGTTGACGTAGCCGATTGCTTGTACTGAGAACGAGAAAGCCGAGAATATGAAGGGGTCAAGACGGCTGCAGGCTGCGGACAGCTCGCAAAGAATGATGCAACGTCAGCACTCACCTAGACATCCTGTTGGAAGAGCAAGTGCATACCAATCCCGTTTGCGGAGGATGTGAAACAAGAAGACGAAACAGAGTCCAAGGTTGATGGCGCAGAAGATGTAGGCGGGAGCGGCCGAAGGTTCGAAGGCTGCAGTTTGCGAGAAAGAGGAAAGGATGATTGAGTCAAAGATGCGCGAGACAACCGAGTCCCTGGGGATCAAGTAACATTACGTACGCATGAAACGGCCGAGCACCGCATCAGCGCCGTCGTCCTGCGCTCTTTGATGCAGCATGCTGAATATCAACGCGCAAGCCTGCTATTTGTATATGGTGGAAGAGCTGTGAGAGCGATGTGAAGGACGGGAGAGAAAAAGGAAGACGCCTGTGGCCTTGCGAGCGTGGTTTATATGGTCGAAGGCACGAGCAGGAGGACGTATGGTTTGGGAGGCGATTCTTTTGTCGCCCACGGGCAGTTTTCGAATCTGAGGAAGTGAATTTGTCGTCGAGTGCCACTGCCCGAACAACACATGGCATGGAGATGCAGCGCAGGAGGCAAAGGTATCTTTGCATGCTGGTCATCTCGGGCAAGAAACAGACAAAAGCGCAACGTCTGGCCGCGGCGTTGAGCACGCACAGCCACAGTAAACGCGTGGCACTTCTTCGAGCTGGCGGAACTGAGGTCCGACATTACCAACGCTCATTGCGGACCAATTCGATGCTTCGCAGTTCTTGAGATGGACCTTCGGACCTGTTGCAGAATGGTCCTCCAGATGTTCAAGCCCACGAACGAGTAGTGTCCCAGGCAACTTAAGCGGGAGAGCAGCCAAGCACACAGAACAACTGTTGACCGCTTGGCTACAGCGTAGCAGCTGGCACATGCTCTCAGGCATTGAGACTGCTCCTGGGCAGCACCGTCTTCGGCAAAGGATCGCGGTTTCCAGGGCGTGTCGAGGGAAACGAAATGATGTCAGTGGATTGATGCCTGCGGCGAAAAGCTGGAGCGTAGGTAGCGGGGCTGCACGTCGCGGTATGCATTCGGACCTGATTTCGGAACTGATGCATCCAACGCATGTCTCGGAACTGATTCGACAGCTGTCAACAACAGCTTTCCAAGTCGCGATTTTTTCCCCCAGAACGTGATGCGACTCGGAACTGAAGATGAAGATCGAGGCGCACGCTTCGAGGCACCCGCTTCGAGGCACTCGCTTTTAGGCTGCACGACGCCGGACAATCCTGCTGTGATCCTATAAAACCTGCTCGCTTCGTCTTGACCAGGGTAATGGACCATGTTACTATCACGGTCTCTTCTCATGAAGCCAGCACACATGCAAGCTTTCTCGCCTTCGCCACGTCGCTTCCGCCTTTGGACGGCGGTCCTTGCTGTTGCAGGCAGTCTCTTGTTCACGTCGGTCTTTGGTACTGCTCTGCCTGTTAGGAGCGCTGGGACCTGTGTACCTGGGCATCCCTGTTTCCCGTCTGAAGCCAGTCTGGACGAGTTCAACCGTACCGTTCATGGCAGACTCAGGTCAGAACGCCCCATTGCTTCCGTTTGTTATCCTTCGGATTCAAGCTTCAACACAACGGAGTGCGCAGTACGCAACAGTTCCGCAACTTCCTTCACCTACCGCACAGGCCATTTCGCCTCCTTGGTCTACAACAACTGGGAGCAATGCGATACGCAAGCCTGTTCTTTCCCACTGTCCTCGACCCTCCTCGACCCGTCCGGGCCTCTCTCTGCCGCACCGTGCGAGCAGGCTAGTGTGCCTTCGTATTCAGTCCATGCCCGGACGGAAGAGGATGTACAAAGTTACGTGTCCTTCGCGACCAGGCACAACCTGCGCATCGTCATCAAGAACACCGGTCACGACCTACTCGGAAGAAGCGCTGGCAAAGGTGGCTTTGCTTTATGGACGCACGAACTACGGAAGAAGGTTTATCATACAAACTTCAAGCTGTCAAACTGCTCGCACAGCCTTCAACATGCAGTCAAAGCCGATTCCGACGTGTTGCTGCAGGCTGACGTGCCTAGGATGTCCTTCTCGGGCGCAATTACACTTGGTGCTGGTGTACAGTGGGCTGATGCCTACAAATTTGCTAGCGAACACCGGCGCCACATTGTAGGCGGAGCATCCACCACCGTCGGAGCAGCAGGTGGTTACCTCCAGGGAGGCGGACACTCGTACCTAACTCCCTCTTACGGCCTCGCTGTTGACAACCTCCTTGAGGCGCGCATTGTCACATCAGATGGCCGCCTCTACATTGCCAATGAAGTCTCGAACCCGGACCTGTTCTGGGCCCTCCGAGGTGGAGGTGGCGCAACTTGGGGTGTCGTTACCAGCGTCACCTACAAGACACGTCCTCAAACGACAATCTATCAGCTCTCTTTCTCAACGCCCGCGAATGTCTCCGAGGCAACGTTCAATCAAACAATGCAAAGGTACATTCGACTCTCGCCAAAGGTGGCAGAAATCGGCGTGGGAGGCGCTGCCACATTTAGCCCCACATCTCTTTCCTTCAACCTCGTCGTTCCCAACACGTCGACTTCTTTCTCCTCGTTCAAGGCGTTCACCAGGCCGCTTCTCACCTTTTTGCATGACAAAGACGGTCTGGACATGGGCGGCAAGCAACTGGACGAACTCTACACGATTTGGCCGAACCACTACGACTTTTACATTGCCAGTAACGGTGGCGATGCGTCTGACTCGGGCGCTGGCACCAGCGGCGGCGGCGGCGTCACCTCCAGGGTGCTCCCTCGCACTGCATTTACTGACGGGGATCAGAGCAGTCAGCTCGCGCAACTTTTTTTGGATAGCTTTGCGCAAGCGCGCCAGTCGAACACAGCCTTTTTTCAAGTCATCGGCCTTGCAACACCGATCAACACCCCTTATCGCAACCAGACTAGCCTCAATCCGGGCTGGTACCGTTCGCTCTGGCATGTGATCAATCTTGGGGACATGGCCGACAAGCTCAGAGAGATGACGCCGGATGCAGCCGTGTACTTGGGCGAATCGAGCGTCAGCGAGCCAGACTACCGCAGTGGCTATTGGGGACGCGAAAATTACAAGGCGCTTCAAGACATTAAACAGCGGTGGGATCCCGCCAACCACTTTGCGGTCTTCCACGGCGTCAACTTCGACAAAGACGATCTCAGATGGTCCTGCTACCGGGCCCACAAGTCAAGGGATTGAGTATGCAAATGTCCACGAGCAAGGTCAGTCTCAACTTTTCGCCGGTGCACGGCACGAGCAGACAACGGAAAACGCCGCCCTCTTCCAAGCTTGCGGGATGAACGTAGCATACGAGCGTAGCAACCATTGTGACAATGGACAGGCGTTCCCGTCTGTCGAGTATTGTAAACTAATGTAGGTATCTGGAAATAGTCTGTGGCTCGAAATTTCGTAATCGGGGCGCGTCTTGCGGGTCCATTTTGGCAGGCGGACCACGGCCTATAGGGCTAGAATTAATCCCGACATCGAGCCTGATGTCTTTCCTATCCTTCGTTCGATCGATGGTGGCGTCACTTGGACGAATTACTCTTCGATCCGCGACACTCAAAACGGCCGGGATATGCGATTCCAGCCCAACCCGCACGTTCCTGGCCACGATTTTGCCGGCTACGCGGCTGGTCCATCCTGGCTACGGGTGTATCGACGCCCCTTAGCCTCCAAGGCCCTATCTGGATCGACATGTATGCGAGCACGGACCGAGGTAAGACTTGCAACTTTGTGAGCCACATCATATATGGTACCGGCCCCGAGACCATCCAAAACGGAGACAGGGCTATCTGGGAGCCTTTCACGATGATATACAATGGCCAGATGGTCATCTGTTGTTCGGACCAGCGCGATCCTAAACATTCGCAGAAGATTTCGTACGCCACTTCAAAGGATCTGAAGAAGTGGTCAGTGTCGCAGGACGTCGTCTCGTATCCGACCCAGACAGACTGTCCTGGTATGCCGATTATCGCTTATGTACCCAGCACGGGCAAGTATAACATGACCTACCATATTGCGCGCAGAACAGCAACTGTCCTGCACACTATCGGATCTCGTCGGACCCGCTCAACTTCCAAAACGCCCCCGACTATGCCCTGCAGCCATATGGTGCGAACAACAGCCCGGTCAACAGCGGTCCATACATCATCTACTATAAGGCTCCCGGTGCAACAAGCGGAACACTGATCGCTACCACTGCTTACGACGCTAACGTTTTCCTGAACAACGACTCCGCGAGTCCCACTACCTGGAAGGCGGTCAACATCGGTCAATTCCCCGGGTACTCCCTAAATCTGCTCATTTTAAACGACAACGGAACCAACAAGCTGCATGTGATCACCGGAGGCTACTATGGCTGCCAGGGAAGCTACCACAACTACGTAGCCAACGGTGTTAATGACATCCCAACATACTGAGGATGACTTATGCCCGCTGTATGATAGTATCCGTCGGATGAATGCGATCCCTGTTGATGGCAGCAAGCTGGCTACGCGAGCTCAAGCGGCAACCTAGATTTGTCACTGTCAACGAAAGCAAATTGTCGGATGTTGTGTCCAATACACAGCACGAGCCTGCGAGGAAGAGTCTTGGTGAGCGAGATTACATAGTATTCCGCTGGAATCTACCAGCAGGCAGGGTCCCCCTGCATTCTTGTTCACATCTTTAGCAATACATTTAGGGATGATGTCGTTTTCCAAGCACTTGCGCACATCTATGCCGCCGTGGAACACAGCGATGAGAAACATGGTTGAATTGAACCATTAGAGCGGAGCAGGCAGAGCAGCTGCAATGGGTAATCCTGGCTTTCTACATATTCTACAGCTCCAAATTCTGCCAAAATCGCAGCAGTTGCATCCAGCAACGCTCCTTCAACAGAGGGATTCTACCTTCTTTTCATACACTTTACAGACCAGACAGCTGAATCAAAAATTCTTTGAAGCCAGGGCCACTACTCCACCCGCTTGACCTTGTGACAGCGACTGGTCATATCTGCGGCACTATATGCTAGCAATCATTCACGGAGAAATGTTCAACGCTACGATCAACAGGATCAATGTCCCACCATTGCCTGTGCAGCAGCCGAGTACCTGTTGCCGTGCGGCTTAGCATCGTCAATGATGCGTCGAAGTTCTGCCGACTCCTCGCCGCTCAGCTCGACGTCTCTGCTGCTGAAATTTTCAACGAGGCGCTCAGCTCTCGTGGTGCCAGGAATGGCGATGAAACCCTGACGGGCGACCCATGCCAGGGCGACCTGAGGAGTTGTGCAGCCTTTCTTCTTGGCGAGCTCCTGGATCTTGACGACGATGGCCTTGTTCTTAAAAAAGTTTTCGCCCTGGAACTTGGGGACGGTTCTCCTAAAATCATCGGGTGCAAAATCGTCAGGCGATGCGTACTTGAAATCGTCGACGAGCCAGCCATGACCCAGGGGGCTGTAGGCTACGTAGGCGATGTCGAGCTCCCTGGCGGTATCGATGAGGCCGTCTGTCTCGTGGAGGGTCTCGAACGCAGAGTACTCTGCTTGCACAGCATCGATGCGTGCGATCGAGTTGGCCTTTCGCAGCGTCCCAGCCGAGCATTCGGAGAGGCCAATGTATTTTGTCTTGCCAGTCTGTCTCAACTTGTCGAGGGCTGGGATGGACTGCTCGAGCGGCGTGTTGGGATCGATGCGATGAAGGTAGTAGAGATCAGGCGTGAAACCGAGGCGCTGAATGGTACCTTCCATGTAGCTTGCGATGTGAGCTGGAGAATTGTCCACGCCACTCTTGCCGTCGAAGCAGTTTATGCCACACTTCGAAGCGATGAATACCTGGTCGCGAACCTTGTGTTTGCGCAAAAACTCTCCCAGGAGTTGTTCGTTGATACCGGCGCTGTAGACGACCGCCGTATCCCAGAATGTGCAGCCAAGTTCGATGGCTTTCAGCAAAACGGGTTCGGCTTGCTCGAGAGTGAGATTGCTGCCTAGTCCGAAGTTCAAGCCCATCGCACCAAAGCCGGGCGAGGGCACCTGAAGATCTGAAAATTTGAGATGATGAACCATGATGGCAAAGGGAGGCTATTTTGTATCGAATGACGTATGTTGAAGTGACAAAGCAGGTGAGTCCACCTCTCCCAAACTTGGACTTTTATACCTTGATGATCGGTGACTCGAGCGCATCGAAGTTAATCCTTCTTCTCGCACAAAGGAAGTGAGCACAAGCCGCTTGCAAAGGACGTCCCCTATCCGAGATAAGGAGACAATTACACAGTGAGGATGGAGGTGGAGGTGCAGCGATTGTTGAGCCGTGCGCTCGCACGGAGACACCTTCCATTGAAGACTGGAGGGCAGCGACGCGCAGAGACGTTGGGTGGAGGCGAGTCCTGCGCCACTGTCGAGTGGAGGAGTGGAGGTGGAGGAGGCGCAAGCTACGTGTGCGCATACTGAATTTTACCCTTGTCGGAAATTTCCCCATAGGAAGCGAACCTCCACCGTTGGGCTCGATGGCAGTGTTTTCCAAGGCAGTTGTCGGGTGTGCGCGAGC